TATTACCCTCAATGTATAGATGTGAAAACTGAGGCTCCGGGGGCCAAGGCTGTACTACCAGTGGAACCGGGATCTGAACAAGGTCTGACTTGGAATAAAAGTTTAAAGTTGGAAAGGGCTTCATCCCTCATTTCACGATCGACAAACTATAGGACAGGGAGGCTGAGGCCACCAGTAGCACAGCTAGGACAAGAACTCAGGTCTCCTCACTTCCAGCCCAGGGTCTGCTGCTAGGCCTGCTGCTTGCAACACTGTAAGTGAACATGATTTCTAAGATCTGCAAAGGACCTCGAGATGGAAGGATGAACTGCACTTGGCCCCTGAGCAGTCCCATCTCTTCTAAAGCCCCTCCACTCCCCCCCCCCCAAAAAACCTCCCTCTCCTGGGCATGGAGCGGAAAGAAGCGAAAGTGGACCTAAACCCAGGCTGTGATTTAAGGCAGCCCTGAAGATGGTCACAGGCCTGCCTGGCCAAGCCTGGAGGCCTGCAGGGAGAAAGCTGACCACCTTCATCTCACTTCCTGCCTGGCACAGTCTTCGCTCCCACTGTTTCTTCCTCCTGGGTTGCCCAGCATCCTCACCTGTCCCATATCCTGCCCAGTTTTCAAAGCCTAGCTCAAATGCACGGCCGTCTCTGATTTCCCACCACCATCACCACTCTGAAGTGACTTCTCGATCTGGTCTTGGAAACTCCAAGCCTTCCTTTACATTTCTGCTCCAAACCCTCCCATTCTGTACCTTGGATGACAGGGGTTGACTTTCCTGTCTGTCTCCCTTCTAAGGGGCTGGACCCTTAAGGGGCTCTCAGTGCTGGTCTCTGAGGTGTTGCTGAATGAACAGTGAGGGAGTCGGAGCAGAGAGGTCGGCCTGTCCTTTTTGTTGACTTGTATACATGCCTGACCGGCTTTGCAGACAGATCTCTAACTGTGATCTTCCCTCTCTCTCCAGGACCTATGATCAGCTGCATCTTAAATTCTAAGTCCTAGAGGGTGAGGACGAAGTCATTCTAGCATCTCTGCAGCATCAGTCATAAGTGGGGGCTTTAAAAAACAGTGTGGAAAATAATCAGGTGACAAACATCCACCAATTCCGGCTATGGTTTGGCACTGAATGAGATACTGGATGAGGGGTTGGGGACAAGACACCCAGAGGAAGGGTCCTGCCCTCAGTGGATCTCCCAGAGAAGGCAGGGATCCCTAAGGGAAGGGACCTTTCAGCTTTGCCTGTTCCCAGTCCCCAGCAAATGAACAGGGCCTGCCACACAGTCAGTCAATTACCATTGGCTGAAGAAATGAATTAATAAGCATTGACCCAGCAGCAGTGAGCACCCCATATAAGGCAGGGTGGTGCTGAATGCTGAGCTGGTCTGGGCCATGAGTCAGAGCTGCAGAATTCACCGGCGAGAGAGAGGCTGGTACAGGGCCAGGAGGTTTGTGGTTGACCGAAATCAACAAAGGCCAGATCTTCAAAAACACTCGGCCACAGTTGCCTGGGAGGCAGCATTACACACTGTGGTTTCCCAACTGTTTTCTGCAGAGCAATCTTTTTTCAAATGAAATCGTACACCGCACCCTAAATGCATAACAGAGCTTCCACGGTGGACGTCAACTGGGGCATTGAGGCTGGTCTGGAAACCCTGGAACTCCTGGGGCCCCTCAGGGACAGGGCTCCTGCTCAACCAGTGATGGCGTCCTCTCTTCTCCCTCCCTCAGAGAGTCGCCAGGAAGCGGGAAGCAGAGAGGAGGGCTGAGGCCCCGGGCTGGGCCGCCATGGGCTGGGTCTTCAGAGGGGCCATTTAGGTAGATAAATGCTAAAGTGGTTCGAGAAACTTTCCCCAGTGATGAGGGGTTGGGCCGGGGGTTGGGGGTGTGGAAAGAAAGCAAAAGGCCTTCCCAGCGAATGGAGGGGAATCCAAAGTGGCCAGATGTGGGGTGGCTGAAACAGCGGGCTGGCCTCTAGGAGCACAAGGACTCAGTATGTGAAGGGTCTTCTGGGCCGATCCTTTAGGAAAGTGAAGCACCATCTGTAGATACATTGCAGATACACGCCCCTGCAAATCGGGCTTTCAGATACATGAGCCACTGAAACCAAGGCATACCTGTCCGAGAGCGGCTAGCCCTGCACTGTGAGCCACAGCAAGGACCCATTTAGGACAAATCAGCCCTCCTGCTCGCTCACCCACCCACCCCCTGCCATGGCACCAGCAGGGAGCACCTGTTGTTTGGTCTGCTTGGCATTCCTTCTTCTGAAAATAGCACCTGGGTTTTCCCTTTGGAGTACCAGCCCTCTCACATGCTCAGGCTGACTCCTCCCACTCGTAACACCCCCACCCCTAACCACAGACACTCAGCACTGACCTAGTCTGGCCAATCAGCATATTCTGTCTTTCTGGTTTCAGTGATTGGTCAGAGATGGTCATGTGACCCAAGACCAGCCAATAAGATTTGACTCTAGTAGTTTTGTAAGAACTCCTGGGAAAAAGAAGCTTTCCTTCTACTGGCTTTGTGTTGAGCAGGATGACTGTCCGGAACCACATGGAGAGTGTCTACCAGGGACCCCAGCCCACAAGGAGGGAAGCAGAAGGCACAGACATGGGCATCATTTAAGTCTTGGACACCAGTAAACAAGCCCCAAACTGCCACTCTATTGGAAACCAATAAAAAATGAATAAATCGTGTTTTCTTGCTTAATCAGGTTGAGTTTGGTGTTGGCTCCCAATTGATGCAAACTCTGACCTCAGTTCAGCCTTTGCCTGGCCTCTCATCACCCCAACCCACCCCTACCGGCCCCACCCTGTCTCCCCTGCAGCCAACCTTCATGTCAGGCCCGTCATTGGTTTTTGCTGACCTGGGCGGCAGCTCCAGCCTTCCCCTCAGATCCAAGCACTGGGCACAGATCAGCAGCCTGCAGGGCTCACCTGTACCCCAGCCGTCCCAGGTGTCTAGCCCCTCCTAGGGTTGTGTTTTGGCTAATCTAGTGCGACCTCTCCAACCTGGGCTCTTTGAACTTCAGTTCTACTGGGAGAGACAGATACTACACAGTGAATGAGGGCCCTGGAATCCAGCCACTCCTGAGCTTGGGGTGGGAAGAGTCACCCCACGGCTTTGGTCCATGGTCTCAGAGAGACCTGCTGTGGGCAGAGGCTGTGGGGTGTGGCAGGATAGGCTTGGGCTCAGCTGTCAAGCAGGCGGGGAAAGTTCCTGGATCTCTTACCTGCTCTATCACTTTGGGCAAATTGTCCCCTCTAAATCTCAAGATCTTCAACTTTAAAGTGGAGATCATATTACTATACACCTGACAGAAGGACAAAAATCTACAAAGCTGACAGCATCAATTGGTGGCGAGGAGATGATGCAAAAAGAACTCTCACTCATTGCTGATGGGGATGCAAAATGGTACAGCCGCTCTGGAAGACAGCTTGCAGTTCCCTACAAAGCTAAATATACTCTTACCATATATTTCAGCAATCATGCTCCTAAATATTTACCCAACTGATTGAAAACTTATGTCCATACAAAAACCTGCACATGAATGTTTATAGCAGTTTTATTCATAATCACCCTAAACTGGAAATAACCAAGATTTCCTTCAATAGATGAATGGATAAGCAAACTGTGGTACATCTAATGGAATATTATTTAGCAATAAAAAAGAAACGAGCCATCAAGTCATGGAAAGACATGGAGGAATGTATATGACATATGCATTATTACAAAGTGAAAGTAGCCAGTCTGAAAAGGCTACCTACTATATGATTCCGATTATATGATATTCTGGAAGAGGCAAAAAAGAAAGGAGACAGTGAAAAGATCACCGGTTGCCGGGGGTGAAGAAGAAGGGAGGGAGGATAAAAAAACGAGGTACTCTCTTATCTGGCAAGGCAGATGGCCTCCCACAATAAACACTCTAACTCCCAGCCTCCCTTGCAGCTAGGTGTGCCACATGACTACAACCTGGCCAATGGGACATGACAGGAAGTGATGTGGGCACCCTCTCCTTTTCTTATTTCCCCATTCTTACTGACCAGAATGGAGAAACTGTCATGGGCCACCATGAATGATGGAGACAAGTAACAGTCAGAGAGCCACAGGACAAAAGGAACCTGGGCCCCTAATATATTTGTGTCAAAGACTCCCCTGAGCTCAGAAGTTTCCTTAGAGACAAATCAACCTGTCTCTCATTTAAGGAACATTATTTTTAGGGGAAGGTTATAGCTCAGAGTGCTATGGCGTACACAAGGTCCTGGGTTCAATCCCCACTACCTCCATTAAATAAAGAAAGAAAGAAACCTGATTATCCCCCCAACAGAAAAATTAAATTAAAGAACATTATTTTGCATTTTTGTTACACACAACCAAACCATTATCCTGACAAATGCAAGAACCTTCAAGGATTGTCCTGAGAATTCTGCATAATATACGTAAAACATCTTCACTCACTTATTCATTCATTCATTCATTCAACAAATAATGACCTGTGTACTCTGCTGGGATCTGGGGGTTCAACCAAAGATAAGACAGACAAACCCCTGTCCTCCGGAGTCTGCATTCTAGTGCAGGAGACAGGCCATCAAGATGAATTTATTACAGATTTTCACGAGTGCAGGAACTCTACTAGTATCAGCTAATGCTTATTGCCTTCTGAACTTACTGCATGTCCTGTTCTAAGCCCTTTTCACATGTTACCTCATTTTATCGTCACCACAAACCCAGGAGGTGGGTGCTATTGCTTCCTCATTTGACCAATGAGGAAGCTGAGCCACAGAAAGGTTGAAGCACCTGCCCAAAGTCACACAGCTAGTAGTTGGTGGTTCAGGATCTGAACTCAGGTCTGCTGGACTTTACAGCCTTAACCACCGGGCTCTCCTGCTAATGAAGGGAACACCCAGGACCCTGTGACAGAGAACAGCGGAGTGCCCTGCTGATGGGTACGATTAGCAACAACCACCACAGCAGCAAAAGCAGCATAAAAGCCCGCACTGAACAGCCTGAACTCCTTTACCTGGGTAGCCAGCGTTGAGAAGTCTGGAAAAAGATTGTGTCCACTTTTTAGAAGTTCAGATTCAAAGGGTTCACGCTGCTTTGATGCCAGTGTCAGAAGGTCTGGCCGCTGCAAGCTCAGGGCTGTCCAGGAGATGCCCACCTGTCAGAGACAAGCAGAACCAGCCGTGACTGCCTAGCGGGGGTCGGGGGTGGGGAACCCATCAGCTCACACTGCCCAAGGTCTCTTCTTTTTGTTTGAAATGCGCTTGGGGCCCCTGAGGAGACCGTGTGATGAGCAGATGGCAGTAACCTGGGGTCATGCATCAGGACTGGGGAGCCATCATTAAGGTCCCGGCTGAACTTGCCTGCAAACAATTCCAAGACACAAAGATATGCATATGCCTGTGTGTACGTCCTGAATAAAAATACTTAAGTGTCACGCCCACTGTGTCTAGCATGGTGCCCTTTGCATAGAGGGAGGCTTGACAAATGTTTCCTGATTTGCTCTGCTGTGAAACATAATTTTATATGTCTAAGTGGGGGGGAGGAAACTCTGAGTTCATGCGCACTGGTGGAGAGATTCTTCTTCATGTGAAAATGCATTCCTGGGAGGCTCCATCCAGCCAGACCAGTGGCCTCATTAACTAATGAGGCGACCAATACCCAGAGAGGGGCAGCGACTTGCCTAAAGTCACAGAGCAAGTTGGTGGCAGAGTGAGGTCTAAAGCCTGGTCTCTCCTGACTCATGGCTGCTTGCTCTCTCCAGGGCCGCACCCTCCTTTGTCGTTGTCAGACTGGTACCCCTGGAGCAGCCTGGGCACAGGGTGGGAGCCTGCTGCCTGCCTGACAGCTGGACGCTGGTCACAAGTCAGAGCAGAGAATTGCTTCTGGGCTGTGTTCAAGCCCAGAAAAGGTGCAGGAAGCAGTGTCCACAGTGGTTGGGAGCATAGGCTTGGAGGCTAGTGGACTCATCCACATGGCTGGGGCAACCTCTTTCTGGGGTTGGGACCCTGGGGAAGTCAGATGTCCTCTCGGAGCATCAGTCTCCTCTTCTGTAAAACAGGACTAATAATAGCATCTCTCTTTGAGGACTGCAGGGAGTGAAAACGACTTTCATAAGTCTGTGAAGCCACAGCAGAGAGCATTTGGCTCACAGCAATCGCTCAATAAATGTTAGGGAGGCGACACAGAGGAGGGATTATGTGCATTGCGGGGGGCGGTAGGTGTGTGGGTGGAGCACTGGACTGGGAGTTGCTTTGTGTCCTTGGCAAGATTTTGGACAAAAATCTCTCAATTCCACCAGTGATTCGCTCCCTCTGTTCCCACCTTCCATCCTTGTCTCTGCCTTCATAGACTAGCGTCGGTCCCCAGCATACCTGCTGCTCCCTCCTGGCTGCAACCCCCACCTGCCCACGAGAGTGATCGCTACACCCCAGCCCACTTTTCACCAGCCAGCAAAATGCAAATGTCACTAGCACTCTGCAAGCTGGTGAGCTAATGTCACCAGACGGCAGCCAGTACAGAAGAACTGTGGAGGGGTGGAGGGTGCGGGGCGAATTCCCCAGGAGGGGTGGCATTCTCGGCTTTTTCCAATAAGGGTATGATCAAGAAATAAACAAATGGCTGCAGGAAAGAGGTGACAACGGAGACTGTTTTAGCAGCATGCTGTGAGATGTGACCGCCAGTGGTCCCTGCTGTGGCCCCCATCCAGCTGATGTATGTGTCTTGGCCCCTCTGGGCCTCCTCCCCACACACAGCCCGATGGAGGCTCATCTGAGGGACCCCCCAGCCTCCACCTTTCATTTCCACCCCAGCCCACACTCCCTCAAACCTGCTGAGAGAAGCAGACCACCCACCCAATTAACAGCCATGGGAGTGGGGAGTCCTCTCCCAGGAGGAGGTGGCAGCAGGGGACCTCAGGGATCCACAGGCAGGAATCCTGGGTTCCAGTCCCAGTGCTGCACTAACTTGCTATGAGCACTCTGGCACATCCTCCCTTTGGGGGGGCCTTAGTTTCTCCATCTGTGAAAGGGGGTGTCAGATACATCATTGATCCCTACCATTTCTCAGGGTCAGCTCTAAACCTCCCAGCTCACAGGCAGAGATGCCAGTGTAAGGCTCTTCCTCTTCTAATGTCCTTATGACACTGGCACTGTTGACACCTGCAAGCACGTAAGGCTTCCTGGAGGAGGTGCCCCATATGCGTGTGTGGAGACAAGAGCAGGGCACTGTGGGCAGGAGGCCCAGGTAAGAAAAGATATGGAGATACCCAGAGTGGGGACTTGGAGCCAATGCTGTCTGTCAGGGCGGAGTGGGAAATGAGACAGAAGAGTCCTGTGGTCAGTGCTTTCCATACACGTTCCCATTTTATTGATGAGAAACTGAGGCTCAGAGAGGTTAAATAGCTTGGGAGATGCATGGTTGTTAAATAGCACAGATTGGATTTGAGCCCCATAGTTTTGGGTTTTTTAATTGAAGTATGGTCTGTTTACTAACTTCTGGTGTACACCTGAGCCCATAGATGGTTATGGGGTGCCACCATCTAGACTCTTTAAAGAAGAACTGGAGAAATTCAGCAGCGTTTGTGTTATAAATACATGTAAATGAGCTCGAGTTCTATGTGAGGGTGGGCAACATCATGTGTGTGTGGGAGGGGTGGGGGAGTTTCCTGTGTCAGTCTGTGTACTTGTAAATGTGAGTGGGTCATTGCTGAATGAAGCTGCTGCCCTGTGGGGATGCCGGATGGGGAGGGTGTGGCTGAGGAGCCGATGATGAGGCTGGGGATCGGGCAGGCAGAAGGTGCTGGCCATCCCATGGCAGCCTAGGAAGCCCTGGTCTGTGGGCTGTGACCTGGGCCTGTGCTCATGGGTACTGCCTCCTGGTCCTGACCTACATTGCTTGTTCCTGGCTCCCATACTCCCCTCACTGCCGCTCAGGAAAGCAGCATGTCCTGCCCTTGGCCTCTCCCTCAGCTCAGTCTCCTCCACAATCCCTAGGGCTATATGCAGATCCGGCAGATCGAGCCAGGCATACAGACGGGGCTGCTGCCAGCAGACAGGGAAGCCAGTGAGTGAGTGTACCTTGCACCCACTGAGGACTGGCCAGACCTGTCTTCCAGCACTGGCTCTGCCACTAGCCACTGGCTATGTGATTAGGGCATGCAATCCACCTCTCTGAGCCTCAGTGAACCCTCGCAGAGCTGCTGAGATGACTATTTAAGAGAAAAGACATGCAAACTATAAAGTGCTGTGCCCACAGACAGGGCTGTGGTTGTAATCCCAGTGGCCAAGATAACCCAGGAAGTGTAGGGAGTTCCCTAGAGAGCCTTGACTGGGAATCCAGCCAACGTCTTTATGTAAGTCCCCCTTGCCCCTCCCCTGGGCCTCAGTTTCTCCATCTATAAAGCCAAGGACCCTTAAGTTCAGATGCAGAGTGGTGCTCAGCCCTCAGTGTCTAATTTTCTTCACCACGATTCGCTATTAACATCATAGATGGATTTCATTTGCCAGAAACATGAAGGCCATTCACGCAGCAGTAAGCAGTAGGTTGAGTAATTAGGACCCAGGACAAGTAAGTTTTGATGGGAGGAGAGAGGAAGATGATCTCACGTTCCAGTCACTGACCAAGAAGGAATGTGATCATCCTAGGAAGACAGAAGGAAGCATGTGGGAATGGAGGGAGGCGGGGCTGTTGGAAGTTGATAGAATTTGGACAAACTCTCTCCCCAAGTTTGCACTGGGCTGGCTATGATGCCACAGAGAAGACACAGGAGTTCTATTTCCTGGAGACCTCAGGAACAGGAGCATTCACTCATTTGGTGAGTACTCATTGAACAGCTGCTGTGTACCAGGACTCCAGGGGTGCCAGGGATGAGTGAGGCACCAACTATGCGGGGAAGTGTGACAATGCTCTTGTCCCCATAGTTCAAGGTGGCTTAGGAGGGCTTATCACCTTGTTCTCAGTTTAAAGAAGGGAGATGCCCCTTCTTTCTTCACCCCCAGGGAAGGCTTCCTGGAGAAGGAGGCAGATTTGAATGTGCAGAGATGAGCAGAGGGCACTGTGGGCAAAGGGACCAGGGGGAACAAAGACACGGAGGTGCCCAAGTGTGAGGTAAGTATTCAGGACCAGGAGGCAAGGCTGCCTGCAGGAGCAGAATGAGAAGGGGTTGGATGGTTAAGGTCCTTGAATGCCAGGCCAACGATGATGAGGCATAGGCAATGGGGAGCTACTGAAGGTCATACAGCAGAGGTGTGTTTCAGGTGGTTGAAAAGCAGCAAGAAGCCCAGGCAAGTGGATACAGATGATGAAAAGGTGGAAAGAGGATGAGCAGGGACTGTGGGGCTGTGGTGAATAAAAGGATGGTGGAGGGGTCAGTAGAGTAGGAAGGACAGTATTGAAATTGGCAGGTTGTGGGGAGGTGACCCAGATGTGGAAGGAAAGATGATGATGGATTTAAGCATACAGGGTTTATATCCCAGCTCTGCCACTGTCACCGTGTGCTCTCAAGCATGTCATTTTTCCTCTCTGGGCATCAGTTTCCTCCCCTGTAAAGTGAAAAAAAGCCACTTCATACAGATGTGGGATTCAACCAGATAACACACGAGGAAGCACTCTGAACACAGTAAGTGATTGGTGGATGCTTGCTTTCTAAAATGTAAGCATTTACTGCTTTTATCAATTAGTGGTGACCTTCCCCTGTTACAAATGAGGACACTGAAGTCTGAGGTCAAAAGAGTGACTGGAATTGGCAGTGCTCGCTCCAATCACAGGAGAAGCAAGTTATGAGCAAATAAACGTGGGATGACTCAGAGAAGAGTCTTGATTTTAAAATATTGCTAAAGAAAAGGGCTGTTTTATGACTTTTGTGCTGTGTGCTTATTAAACCCAAGCTATAAATGTGAACTAATAAGTAAAATGAGTTAAGTTAATGAAAAAAATCAACCTTCAGGATGGATCCATATTACCTAATGGCAGTCCATAAACATAAACATAAAATTTTAAAATACAAGAATGAATTACAATGCCCAGCAGCTCAAGGAATCTGCAATTTCTCTGTCTGAAAAATAAAAGCTATTGATTTTAGCTTGGGTTCTCATTGCTCATGAGTGAGCCTTTGAGAAGTCATAAAGGAAGGAATTATTTCCAATTGTTTACTCACTA